ATTCTATGTCATATATAATAAAAGTAAAAATAAAATAAAGCATAATATACACAGTATACATACAGAAATCGTAATGTATTGATATAGCTACCAGTCTGTTGATATTTATTCTGTAGTAAATTGAATGCATTCACCTGAAAAAATACATAAAATTATATCGAACATAATATTATCTACATGGTAGAAGGTACGTTTGTGTTATCGGTGTAATAGTGGCACGTGGTTTTTAATGTACAATAAATACCTAATAAAATTTTATATTAAGTAAGCAGTAAAACGTTTTAAATTAAAATATAATAAAAAGGCTACATAGACATTATAAAAGAAAAAATATGGCGAAATTAAAGGGGTAATGTAAAGCAGCATATTATTGGTATTGAATTTAAGTTAAAATAGTAATTTTAATTAACTCTATCCGACCAGAGGTTAATAAGAGTGCCTGTTTAAGAAGCCCATTATGGGTTCGGCCGGTACCACAATGGGGCAACCGGGTGGAGAAAACGGGGCCCGATATCTTCTTACGGAGCATTACACCGAATTTTCCCCAAAGATTTTTCGACACGTCAGGATCCAATCTCTGGTACCCAAGAGCGGTAGACTGCCTCCTTGATCGCTCGGCCATCCGACCGTCAATTATACAGTATTCAACTTGGTTTATCGTTTCGAATATTATTATATAAAACAATCCGTATATTATCCACGTTTTAAGTTAAATGAAACGTTATGTTTTAAGATAAATGTAATTTCGAGTTACTTAACACACTCGGCAACTTTTAAAATTCCGTGTGGCGCAATCTAATATGATATTATATTAAAAAATCTTTTTATATATTTTTAATTAATATAAAACGACCAAAACGTTAATTCTGAAAGTAGGATGAGTTTCATAAAAATCGTAAATGCTAATAACCGGTAAAACACTTCACTAAGTTCGACCCTACTCTAAATATGACAAACGACCTTTTCTTCTATCTTCGTACCCCTTCGATCTTTAACCACCAAAATATAATATCATCAATCCAGGGCCGGATTAACCCACTTTGGGTTAATAAAGATTTTACTTGTTATTAGCATTTATAATTTTTTTTATGAAATTCATCATTACCCTCAAAATGAAGTTTTTTGCCATTTTATAATAATAAACAATATAAAAATTTTTTTAAATAAATGATCTTAACGTGCTGCCACATGCTTAACTTTCCTGACAACTATTTAAAACTGCAACTCAATGCTGGATTTTCTGTTCTCTAGAACCATTTGTACTGGAGGAGAAAGATACTGAAGTATGTATAGGAAAAATTTATTGGTACTTTCTACTTAAACTGTGGAGCACTGATCTTGAAAGATACACTCACCAGTCTCTCCAAATGATCAGAAACAGACAGTACATGTGACTCAAAAATATTGTTATATACTTGTGCACTCGCTGAACCTTTCACAAAATGTAGTTAGTCAAATTCTTTGTAAGAAATAGTCCTAAACATTCTGACTTATAGCTTGTTTCATAAATCTTGTTCAGGTTGTAAAATTGCACAATAGCTGGAATCAGTTTATTTACTTAGTAAAGGGAACATATTGTTTGTTGAATGTGTGACAAGATAACTGTGCATTACTATAAAGAGGCTCTTCAACTTCTATAAAGTTNATTTCCGCGGATCCGATTTTTCGCCGAATCCCACAAACACCCCTTCACATAAACGGCAGTAACTAATCACCAAAACAAGATATCAACAAATGGGTTGAAGGAGGTTACTCGGGAGGTTTCCGAGGACACAACGCCTCCAAGCGAATTAAAATATAACCAACTGGAGGCGCGCTATTAAAAAAGTTCGGGAACTTTTTGAACCCACGTTCATTTTCTTTAGATTTAAGAATTCACTATAACCATATAAAAACCAATACTGTATATTTTTGTTTATTGTATACAGTTGTCCAACAGAGAAGTAAACTATCTTATTTACAAATCTCTTCAAAATAGACAGTTTGATCGGGCCCTTCTAAAAACCGGGGCCCTAGACATTTGTCTCATTTGTCTATGCGATGATCCGGCCCTGCATCAATCTCCCTAATACACAAACCTTTCTGCAAAATTTCACAAAATTTCGACAAAAAGCACGAAAGTTATTAAGCTTCAAAAGGAATGAAGAACATCGTACAACCACATCGTAATATTCATATAGAAAACTCTCGTAATTTTTATGGATTTTACGACGTTTTAAAGACTTCTTAGTCCAAAAATGAAAAATCTTCGGGGAGAATCAAAAATCTGGTTATACGATCGATCCTTTAGTAACTACCCTATTTTCAGGAACGTTTAAGCAAAATTATCTACAAAATAATTTTAAAAATAACATCATACTTTATGCTTTATAATGCCTAATCTAATTTAGCGAAGTCAAATTAATTGTTCAAACGAACAATTCTTCATCAGTTATAGAAATTTCAAGATGAAAATGAAATAATTTGAGTAATTTCATTTATTTTCCCATTAAAAATTAAGTTAATAACATTAATCATTTTAAAAAGTTAATTATAAAGTATTATTTAAATGCAATTATACCATTTAGTCGAGTCATGTTTTTTCAATTATTGCAACTAATTATTCCGGGTAATGGAGAATCCATATAAAATATCAACAACACACATAGATTAATAATTAATTTTATAGTAATTTAATCGCTCACACCTTCGGATTTCTCCAAATTTATACTCGTATCTACGTAAGTAATGCTTCATTTTTACTTTAAGTCCTTACTTATTCAGTTAAAAATACACGAGAGTATTTCATTAATAAAATATTAAAGTAAATTGATAGATATTAAGACAGTCCAAAGTTCTTGTATGGGTTTTTGGGTAAAGAGGGCATCATTTTCCATATTTTCGAACAAATGAAATAAGTAAAATGCTTCTTAATCAATAAAAAGTAGTCTTAAAACAGTAAAAGCAACATTCGTTTTACAGGAATAGAAACCATTACTGCATTACTGTCCTTAAGTTTTCTCCAGGCTTGGGAAAAATTCCCAAGTCATTCCTCCAGAAACCCCTGGACATTAATTTACTAAATATGAGCGATTGGACGTAGGAGTAAAGGACCATCAAGTGGCTATTAAGCATCAGTTATGATTCCTGATGGATTCGGAAATTTTTATGCTAAAATATGTTGGGGTCCTTACCTCAGGATGGGCAGGTGTTACGTCCTGTTGATACATAACAACCACCTTAGCTTTAGAACCGATTCTTTTATTTAGAATACAATTTTTCATGTGTAAAGTTCCCGTATTTTCAGGTTCCCATTTTCCATGTTAAAATCTATATTTTTATATTTATTTACACTTGAATATCTTGTTTCTTTTACTAGATTGGTGAATTCAGTGTTGCAATATGGCGTATATCAAGAAATTTCTTCTTGTACTTGCACTTCTTGCACTGATATTATGCACAGTCGAATTTATTCCTGGTAAGTGTTATGTTATATTATTATTCCTTAAATTTTTATAATTACACTAATCAAAAATAAATGTAAATAGGAAATGCTAGAAAACTAACTACCGAAGCAATTGTTGCTTGTATAGCATTCAATTACAATAATACACTGTGTAACAATTTTTGCATCGCTGCAAATTATACAGTTGGAGAATGTACATTACGGAAGCATGGACAGTTCAGAAACGTATGTTTGTGTTATAGATTTGAAAAATAATTAAAGTTTCATGTTAAATTCTATTCTGTATATTTGTTTGTTTTTATTTGTATACAGTAACGCAGCAATCAGGCGATCTGCCGAGGGGATGTCTCTCGGGAAGTTTTTCTAAAGGAAGTTAATCCCTATGAATGTATGTCTCTTTAATCCGAAATTAAGTTCGGTAGACTATCATTACAGCTTACAGGAGGGCCCTAATGGAAAAAAGTGATTGTAACGTAGTATTGCAGTGAAGAGGTTCTTAGCATTTATATAAGTCCGAAATGCATATGTGAAAACAATAAAAGAAGTATCTAACCTAAAAGCTGTAATGATAGTCTACCGAATTTAATTTCGGATTAAAGAGATATACATTCATAGTACGTAATAACAGATATTATAAGTAATATTTAGCAGTTAATCCCTATTTAGGTATTATAAACATAAAAAATATCCACGAACTAGTTGCTTAACTTTCCCGGCAGCATTTGGTAGCGCCGACTTTTATCATATTTTATTAAAAAACTTTTTATATTTTTAACTATTTTGACAAGTAAAATTGTTATTAAGATCGACCCTACTTGAAATATGACACACGATACTGTCTATCTCTCAACCCATTCGATCATTTATCACCAAATTTTAACAGAATTAATCCTCCTAATACACAAACCTTCCTGCAAAATTTCAGAAAGTTTTACATGTGTTATTAAGCTTAAAAGAGGATGAACAAAATCGTTTCCACCACACACGCACTCACATACACCGGGAAAGTACGGTTCGTATTGTTAATATTGCTAATTTATTTTGGATTTAAAATGTGTCTTGTATTATTTATTTAACTGTTTTTTTTTCCTCGTTAAAACTATAATGTACCAGTACTTTACATTATGAAAATTGTTTTACTCGGTTAATTAATTTTACTGTAAACATCTGAATAAGAACATATGAATACATTGAATAAAGATAGAGTTGAAAGTCCTGAAAGACAAGTTAAGTGTCAAAATTATTTAAATTATTGTGAGACAGAAATTCATACGATATTATCGCATAATTATAGGTAGGCGAAAAAGAATTTGTATGTGTGATTTCGTTTTCTTCTATCCAAGAACGACGTTCTGCAGGATCGAAGATTCCGTTTCGTAATTTAAACAATGTAATTTATTAGTTTTATTTTTACTTAATTCGTAATAAAGCGTATTGTGAAAACTATAAACCTGAATAATTTATTTAATAATTTATAATACCGATAATCGCAAAGAAGTCTGATTGATTTTACCAGGTAGCGAATGTCACCATAAGTTTATAGTCACGTAATAATCGCCATGAGAGGAAAAGTTTTTATATTTCTTTTATTCGTATGTTGCTTCTGAGATGATCTGTTTGAAAATCTTGCAAATTTCAACTGAGGATAAGTATATATTTATTTTAAAATAGTAAGTTTAATCATTACATGTATAAAGTACATATATTTAGCTTAACATTTCTGCTTTTTCTGGCGGGTTTTCAGTAACAATGTCCTTAATTGATAAAAATTTAATTATTTCAAAATTAAATTGAATTATTTGCTGCAAATGTGGCACTATTAGTTTCGGAATCACTTCCGTATTGTGGGCTTAGAAGCACCATATTTCTAAACGTGTCACCAGAACAAATCACTTCGCCAATACCTGTGGCACTAGCCTAATTAGGGCACTGCACTCAAATAACTAACAAATTCGTAGGGTTTATGAGATAATTTAATTCGATAATTCGGCACCTCTGCATTATCACGATTAAACTGACAAATTTTTCAATACAAACTTAAGTTACACCACCTCAAACACAATTATTTCGATTTCTTAATTAAGCTTTGTTTATTTATTCTGAGTCATAATGAGGTTGGAAACGTGACAAAACATAGAAAATGATGACCCGGTCAACTCTCCCCTTGATAAATGTTTAATCTGAATAGAATTAAAACTCAGTTTCTTACAATTGTGAATATTAACATTTACCCGCAAATATATGGCGACAATTTTAAAAATTATATCGGAATTTTTAATATATAAATATTTACTTTTAAACAAAATTCGCATTCGTGCCTTTATACATACAATAAATTTACAACTGGCATCACTTTCTATATGGAAACAGAAAAGAGATCAGTGCTTACAAGTGTTAATTTGGGTCCCATTTTTAATTATTTCAGTATCTATATAAACAGAGTCGATTCTAACACCACTTCACTCCTCTTCTTCTATTGAAAATACAAGATTGAAAATCAATTTATTAATTCTCTCTGCAAATGTAAGTATCGTATACTCTGCCATTTGTTACGGCATTTTTGAAGATTTCTGTCAAATTTTAGAATGTTAACATTATCTATTAATTTATAATTCTCTCGAAAGGACAGACATTTATAAAATTTATGAACTTAAATTCAGTTGCGTAAACTTTGTAAAGACGATTTAATTAAATTTTATTTTTATGTATTTTATTAATAAAGTTGAATTTATTTTTCAGATGATGATATCTGTAAAGTTGATTTAATTAAATTTTATTTTCATGTATTTTATTAATAAAGTTGAATTTATTTTTCAGATGATGATATCACATTTCTTTATTATTA